CTTTCTGTGTACAACCATTTCAAATAAAAAAAACAAAAAAATAAAGTTAAGTTTTACTAAGAAATGAGTCATTATAACGTAAAAGAACCAATTTGACTAAACTATATGTTTAACTATTAGTTAAGTTACAAAAAAATATATATGATGAAAGAAGATATAAACAAACTACTACAAGCCGCTTTAATTTTAGAAAAAGACCATAAAATTTTTAAATTTGGCCACCGAATTTGAGAAGAATGATAAATTTCAAGCAATCCGAGAAAATTGATACTCGAGTTTTTGAAAACAAAGCACTAAAAATAGAGAAAGAGATTCTATCATCAAGAAGAAGGTGACTAAGGTATTCAAGAAAGTTTTATTTAAATAACATGGTATTTGATGGGGTTTTAACAACCTAACTTTAATCACAAAGGTAACAATTAGCTAACTAAACAACATCTAAATACATTTGGTAAATCTCAAAACAAGGAAGAAATATCAAAATCACTTGCCGCAACGGGATTTTTGTGGGATCTTCCAGCTTTGGTTTCTTAATTTATTATTAATAATTAAAGCTATATGCCTCTAAGAATATCCACATATGATTTCAAGTTTAATTTTATTGGTCCGCACTAAAATTATTAATTAAAAATTATAAATTTTAAAATTATATTGTTAACAAAAAATATATTTCTAGAAAAATAAAAATTGAAACTATATGCCTCTAAGGACATTTACATAAGATTTAAAAGATCAATTTTATTAGCTCACATCAAAAATTAAAATTAAAAAGTTTCTAAATTATAAAATTATATTGTTAATACAAAATAATATAATTAAAATTATTTTTTCACTAATAACAGTTAAAGCTATATTATTTTCAAGGCATCCATATCAGTATTTAAAAATTTAATTTTATTCATATATATTAAAATTGTAAATTAAAAAAGTTTCCTAATTCTAATATTAAAAATTAAGAAAATAAGTTTTTTAAAAAAATCTCTGTTAACAAAAAAAGCCAACATGATATCAAAATTTCTATTATCATTATTTAAGTTACAAAATTAATTTATTATCAATAAAAAAATATATACTACTTATACAAGTTTAAGATACTTGATTCTAAAGTTTTTCACATAGAATTTTAAATAACTAATAATTATAATTTATATTCATCTAAATTTTTCACATATGCAAAACATATTTTCAAATAGTAACATATAATATACTATGCGAAAGTGATAAAAAAATTACATTTTGTATATTCAACTTGGAATTGCAATAGATTAATGTAAAAATTCTTAGTTTTGAGTTGTTCAATTTATTATTTTATTTTTATATTTGAATGTATTAAATTATACTGATTTTGCATACTTAATTATAATTAGAAGAAGGGAGAATAAATATGATAAAATTGAATATAATCATATAAAAATCATTAAAATAAATAAATATAATATATTCATGGAAAAACAGATATAACAACAATAAAAATGAACATGATGAAAAAAAATTTATAATTAATTATTGAAAAATTATTTAAAAGTTTACAAAACCAATTGAAAAAATATATATTTAATTCACAAATTTTGTTTGATTTTATTCATTTCATATTCAACTATTGTTTTGATTTCAAAGTTAAAGTTGTTATCAATCTCATAGCAAATTTTGTATTTCTTAATTTATTTTTAAATGAATATATCAAAATAAAATTTGTATTGGTTAAACAAGAGAATAAAAAGATTAAATTTTCAATTTTATTATTTTTAATTATTTTTAAAATACAGATATATAATGGAAATAAAAGTGAAAATGATTAAAAAATTATCTTCTGGATTTAAAGAAGTTAATGTATAATATTTGATCATTATATCAATACTATGTTTAAAAGGTAGCATTTGAATCTTGACTAAAAAAAAGTAGCATTTGATTATTTTATACAAATTTTAGTTGGTTTGAGTATATTAACTTATAAGTGTTTGATCAAATAATACATTTTTGAAATATGACATATTGTATATAGATTCAAAACAAAACCGTTCAAAACCTCACAATTTCCATAAAAAGTTATTAGATTAACACCATAATACTTTTAATATATTATTAGAACACTAATATATAAAATTTATATCTTAATAAATATAATTGTTTGTATAAAATTTTTATCAATAAAATACTCACGCGTACCGTGAGCGAAAAATCTAGTCTTATACTAATAAAAGTTGAAGCTATATGCTTCTAAGGGTGTCCACATAGGATTTGAAAGAGCAATTTAATTGGTCCACATCATCATCCAAAATAAGGAAAATTTATAAGTTTTTAATATTATTGCTGAAAAAAAGAAATTAAGAAAGTTTACAAATTCTAATTTTATTGCTGAATAAAGAAATTCTGTATAAATTTTTTATTGGTCCACCTAAAATTAAAAAGTTTCCAAATTCTATTATTGTTTTTAAAAATTATTAAAGATAAAGAAATCTTACATAAAATTTCTATTAATAATAAAAAAACCTAAAATAAATAATATTAAAATAGGAGACCATAAAAACTCCAAAGTTTGACCACCAAATTTGAGAAAAATGATAAATTCTAAACAATCCGAGAAACATGTCAAGAGATTGATACTTGACACTTTTGAAAAACGAAGCATTGAAAATAGAGAAAGAGGTTATGTCATTAAGACGAAGGAGACTCAGGTATCCAAGAAAGATTTTTGAAATAACATGACATTTGATGGAGTTTTAACAACATAACTTTAACCACAAAGGTAATAATTAGCTGACCAAACAGCATCTAAATACATTCGGTAAACCTCAAAACAAGGAGGAGAGACTAATATTGTATCATGATACTTTTGAAAAACAAAGCACTCAAAATAGAGAAAGAGATTCTTTAGATGGTGTCCACAGAGGATTTTAAAAGGTAATTTTATTGGTTCACATCAATATTTAAAGGGAGAGTTTCAGATTTAACCTGAATTTTAAAGTCAAACACCAAACTAACCCTTTTTTTTCTCTCTCCAACTTTTGTCATTTTGTCACAATTTTATCCTTCCCACTCAAACTATTAACGAAAATGCCATTATACATCTATTATTTCGATTTTTTTTTAATTTGGTTAAAGTCTCCTTGGACCTTCTAAAGACCTTTTAATTACGAGAATGCCATCTTTTTCAATTTCTTCAACCACCATGAACAACCATGAAAATGGAATAAATGCTTCTCAACCAATTTTAAAGCTGTAATAAGTAAATATTTGAGCTCATTCACTCATGACCTTCCTCATTCTTTCATAATTTCTTCTCCAAAACATCTGGGCTAAGTTACAATGCCAAAAGTCATGCATTTTTGGTGATTTCTGGTTACTTGACATCTAGGTTGTTTATTTTCGGTGAAATCCTGAGTTCTGGGTGCTTAAAAGAACCGTAGACGAGCTCAATTTTGTTAAAGGTAATCGTCGCACTTCAATTTCTCCACATTTCAGTTTTCATATCGCGAAAGTAGACTTCTCGTGAAGTATACTGAAATCTACTAGTCAACATAAGGTTATTTTTGCAATTGACTTTTAAAAGTAGACTTCATTAAAATACACGAGAAGTCTACTCGATATCCTTTGAAAACAAAAAAAAAGCCTAGTAGACTTCATTTGAAGGCTTAAGAAGTCTACGAAAGAAAAGAGGTTATTTTTGTAGTTGACCATATTTTGACTATTTAATATAGACTTCCTTATGAAGTCTACTGTTTACCTCCATAAGAAGTCTACGTTTAAGTTACTTTTGTAGTTTGACCAAAAAAGTATAAGTCTTTTTAGTGTTTGACTGCAGTTTTTTAAAAAATAAAAAATTCAAAAAATTCTGAAATCCTTCAGTAGACTTCCCAAAGAAGTTTAAAAACTGTAGAATTCTTTGGGAAGTCTACTTATATTTTTCAGTCAAACTTAGAAGAAATCTTTTTTTGAGTAGACTTCACAGTGAAGTCTACTCAAAAATTTCAATTGCAAAAATAACCTATTTTTCGGTAGACTTCTATTGAAAAAGTAAACTGTCAGAGAAGTCTACTCTTACATGAAGTCTACAATAGAAGTCTACTTTGTTAGTCAATGCATCGGTCAAATGCTAAAGTAACCTTTTTGGCCGGAAGTCTACTGAATGAAAAGTCAACGAATTGGTCAATTGCAAAAATAACATGTTTTTTAGTAGACTTCTTTAGTAGACTTCACTATGAAAAAGTAGACTTCTCCTCCAGTCTACGTTTGAAGTCTGCTGTAAAAGTCTATTTATTGCAGTTTTTTTAAAAACGCGTTTTAGGCAAATTTATAAAGTATTTTTTAAATTTTTTGAATTAGAAATGTTTTTTAGTAAGTGATTGAACTACCCAGTGAAATTTATTTCATTTCATTCGATATTTATTGTTGAATCAGAAGTTTTGATTTTTAAGCTACTTAGTTTATCAAAGTAGACTTCGTCGTGTAGTCTACTGATGTAGTCTGCATATGAAGTCTGCACATGAAATCTCCAAACAAAGTCTCTTATATAAAAAATTTGTATCTTATGTGTTTGCAATAATTTGGTTCCTATTTTTGTTTGCTAGTATGGTTTATTTGTGTAAATTATTACAAGAATATTTCAAATACCTGTTGTTAATCTTATGTGTTTATTTTTTTTAACTCTTTTTTTTGTTCTTTGCTTCTTCAATCTAGTTTTTACCATATTCTAGCTCTGTTTGTTTTTAAAACAGACAAAAGTTTTTAAAGACAATAGTCCAAATTTTTTAAGTATGTTGGACTAGATTATTTGTCTTTCGTCTCTTATTATCAAATACACAGAATAGTTTGACTTGGTTTTGGTTTGATTGAGGGCGTATAAGTTTTTGTTTTGTAAGAGTGTTATTGCTTTGTCTCTGAAATTGTGAATCTCTGAAATAATTTTTGTGAAAAATCCTCTATTTGTATGTTATTTCTAAAATTGAAATTTCCTGATTTTAAAGTAGCTGATCATGAAGCCATGTGAGTCTTAAAAAGAATACAAAGGTTGTGTCAACGAATTTTACTCATATGATTTCAATACAGTGTAATGAAAGAATCAAAATTATCAATAAAAAAAGCAGGCCTTGATCGAGATAACAAGCAGCTGCAGGATCCTTAAGGCAGAATAACGATCAGCCAGAATGAGAGATTATGTAGCATCTTTCCTTGCAACAACACCACAACAGAAACTGTCATCGAGCAGTATCAAATCCACCCTGAATCAGAGAGAAAGAAATGTTATATCATACACCTGAACAATTATAATAAAAGAACCAAAAACCAACCAGTAATGAACACTAGATCAGGGGTAAAAATGCAAGAGAAAATATGCTAAAGCAATGTAAAGTGTCACTAAATTGACATCCAATTTGATTAGCTATGCACAAAAAGAAAGGAGATTGTGACTTTAAATCCCCATGGGTTTGATAAAAGCTTCTAAGCAGTGGAAACAAAATGAGAAATTTCAGAAAACTAAAAGCAATCATAATAAATAAAAAAAGGAACATACTTCAGCCAAACAGGGAATCCTCTCGTCATTGCAAAGAAAACAAAAACAGCTTTAGAGTTCAGGAATAAAATCTGTATAGATATATATAGAGTCCATTGAATCAAAATTAAATAAAAGAAGGTCACAGGAAGTTTGGTTATTACCTGAATCACGTCGATTCGTCCATCTTTTGCCTTCTTAATCAAATCTTCCCACATCTACAAAAACGAAAATTGATAACTTTTAAAACCCAGAAACCTAATACCGATTTCATAAAAAATATATAAAACAGCCCAAAAAAGAAAGAAATTTAATGTCTTGAGTTAAACCCAACAAATAAAATTGATTTGAAATAGAACTCACATGAAGAAACCGAAGAAAAACGAAGGAGAAACTGAACAAAATTTCAGATCTTCGTCTTTAAAACACAACGCCTCCTGAATCTCTCCCTCAGCGCATCCTCTGAGAAATCTACAGCAAAACCAAAAGAAGCTTGCTTTTAACTCTTTCAAGCTAGGGTTTCAGGAAATATAGAATAGAAAGAAAGAGAGAGAATCGAAGAACCTGTCCATGGGTATTAGTAAATACCACCGGTTTACTTGTATAATATTTAATTCCGATTTAAATTAGTTGGTTTAGTGTTTATTCAGATGTATATATAGACCACCGGTTTACTTGTAAATCGTTTTCTCTTTGAGGAAGTGAATAACAGAATTTCATCATAATCATGAACTCGTTTTCTCTAATTGGTATCAGAGCAATATCTGCTCATCTCTCTGATTCGCTTCTTTTCTAATCGATTTTGTCTCTTTTTTCACCGTTTAATCGACGATTTGATCTCGGATTTGTGGTTATTCGAACTCGGAAGCTTCACATTTGCTCCATCTTTCTTCGATCCAATTTCTGAGCTCAGATCTTCATTCATGGCGAAACAAGGACGAAAACTAAGGAATCGCTCACCGATTTCTACCAGATCTGAAGCGGATATCTCCGCAACGAAGTATAATGCTGGATCTTCTTCTCCAGCTGAGCCGGAAGTCATTGCGATATCGAATCCTCACGGATCTGCGAATCGCGGTATTTCTGGTACGAATACGAACGGCTTGGAATCCTTTGATAATGTTCATAGTCCATACTTCCTTCATTCCGCTGATCATCCTGGTCTATCTATAGTCACTCATACTCTTGATGGTTCGAACTACAATAACTGGTTTATTGCGATGAGGATAAGTCTCCATGCGAAGAACAAACTTGCGTTCGTAGATGGATCTCTTCCTAGACCAGATGAATCTGACAGTTTGTTCAAAATATGGAGTCGGTGCAATAGTATGGTTAAATCTTGGGTGTTGAATGTGGTTAGTAAGGATATCTATGATAGTATCCTTTACTGCGAAGATGCGGCTGAAATGTGGACAGATCTGCATTTGCGCTTTCGTGTGAATAATCTGCCACGGAAATATCAACTGGAACAAGCTATCTACACATTGAAACAAGGTCATCTTGACTTGTCTTCTTACTATACGAAGAAGAAGACATTGTGGGAACAACTTTCCAACACTAAGACTCATTCAGCTAAAAGATGCAACTGTGATTATGCAAAGGAGTTGTTGGATGAAGCTGAAACTAGTAAGATCATTCAATTTCTGATGGGGCTGAATGACAACTTTGCTAACATCCGTGGTAATATTCTGAATATGAGACCTCGCCCTAGTTTACCTGAGATTTATAACATGCTGGACCAAGATGAAAGCCAGCGTTTGGTTGGCATGAACAACCGTGTTGCTCCTGCACCAGCTGCTTTTCAAATCCAGGAAACGGATCTCCCTGATTCTTCTCAAATCCTTTTGGCTCAAGGCGGTTTCAAGAAACCAAAATGTTCACATTACAACAAACTTGGTCATACGGTTGATCGCTGTTACAAAGTTCATGGATTTCCTTCAGGCCATCCGAAGAACAAACCTTCCAATGTTGTTGGCTCTACGAACATGACTTCTGCTAACAGTGTTTCCCAAGAGTCCAAAATGGATATATCTCCTGACAGTTTCAAGAAGATGTCTAAGGATCAGATTCAGACGATGATCTCCTATTTCATCACCAAACTCCATACTCCTAGCGTAGCATCTCCCCCTGATGGTAATCCGTCTAATGCTTCTACTTCAACCTCTGCACCTGTTATCTCATCGGTAACAGGTACATTTCTGAATCTCTATGATCAACATTACTATGATATGCTTGTTTCTTCTGTATCTACAGCTCCGGATGTGTCTCTTAGAGCTTGGGTAATAGATTCAGGAGCCACACATCATGTTACTCATTGTAGAGATATGTTCACCACATATAAGGCCCTAGATAATACCTATGTCACTCTCCCAAATGGATACACAGTTAAGATAGTGGGATTAGGTTTCATTCAATTGACTGATGTTATCTCTCTTCATAACGTGCTTTATATTCCTGAATTTAAATTCAACTTGTTAAGTGTTAGTGTCCTAACTAGAACTTTGAATTCTAAAGTTAGTTTCACTGCTGATGCATGTTTTCTTCAGGCAATTACTCGAGAGTTGATGATTGGTCAAGGTAGTCAAGTGGGAAACTTATATGTTCTGAATTTCAATTCTGCAAATAATACAATGTCTTTAGCAGATGTTTCAGGGTTTTCTACCTCCTCTGTTAGCTTACTTGTTGATTCGACTACTTGGCATAGGAGATTAGGTCATCCATCTCAGTCCAAGATAGATTTGCTTTCCAATGTATTGCGTTTGAAAAAGGATAAATCTAATAAGAACATCTCTGATTGTTGTCATGTTTGTCATTTATCCAAACAGAAGCATCTCCCATTTAAATCTCGCAATAACATGTGTACTAATTCTTTTGAATTGTTGCATATCGATACATGGGGTCCTTTCTGTGTACCAACTACTGAAGGTTATAGGTTCTTTTTAACCATTGTTGATGATTTCAGTAGAGCTACTTGGGTATACTTGATGCGTGCAAAATCTGATGTGTTAGATATTTTTCCTCAGTTCATTCAAATGGTTGAAACGCAATATGATACTAAAGTAAAATCTGTGAGATCTGATAATGCACATGAACTTAAATTCCATGATTTGTTTGCATCTAAAGGAATAGTTGCATATCATTCTTGTCCTGAAACACCTGAACAGAACTCTGTGGTTGAGAGAAAGCATCAGCATCTTTTGAATGTAGCTAGATCTCTTTTATTTCAATCTCAAGTTCCTTTAGAGTTCTGGGGTGATTGTGTCTTAACTGCGGTCTTCCTTATTAATAGATTACCATCCTTGGTCTTAGACAACAAGTCTCCTTATGAGAAACTCATGAATAAGTCTCCAGAGTATAACAATTTAATAAGCTTTGGATGTCTATGTTATAGTTCAACCTCGCCTAAAGGTAGATATAAGTTTGATCCTAGAGCCAAGGCATGCGTCTTCTTAGGGTACCCATCCGGTTACAAAGGTTATAAGCTACTAGATATAGAGACACATTCCGTTTCTGTTTCAAGGCATGTCATCTTTGTATCATCTAACATCAAAGATGATACCAAAGACTTCTTTCCTCTATTACATTCTCCTGCTTCCTCTGATGTTCCTTTGCCTCCGATGCAAACATCTTCTGATGCACATCGTCACACTGATGTGTCATCTTCTGAGTCTTTTGTTCATTCTGAGCTTAAGTCTCGCAGACAAACACAACCTCCCAAACACTTGCAGGACTTTCATTGCTATAATAATACTCTTACTAAGATAACCACCCCTTATCTTCTCACAAACTTTACATCTTATTCAAATATATCTGAGCCTTTTTGTGCCTTTCTTACTACTCTCACAAATACTCCGATACCGGAAAAATACTTTGAGGCTAAGGATTTTCAGGTATGGTGCGATGCTATGGGTGTGGAAATGGGTGCAATGGAAAGGACTAACACTTGGTTGGTGTGTGATCTGCCCCCTGATAAAGTTGCTATTGGTTGCAAATGGGTGTACACGGTAAAGTACAATGCTGATGGAAGCATTGAACGCTACAAAGCCCGTTTGGTGGCTAAGGGTTTTACTCAGCAAGAAGGTGTTGATTTTCTTGACACTTTTTCTCCTGTAGCTAAACTTGCCACCGTGAAGTTCTTACTTGCTCTTGCTCCGAAGTTAAAATGGTCGCTTCATCAGTTAGACGTCTCCAATGCCTTCTTGAATGGCGATTTGGATGAAGAGATCTACATGAAGCTCCCTCATGGATATGCAGAGCTTAAGGGGGAACCTGTAAACCAAATTCAGTTTGTAGACTTCTCAAGTCTATTTACGGTCTTAAACAGGCGTCAAGGCAATGGTATCTTAAACTTTCTTCTACCTTGCTTGCGATGGGATTTGAGAAATGCTTGAGTGATCACACGTTATTTGTGAAGCAATGGGATGGCAAGTTTCTTGCTATCTTAGTCTATGTCGATGACATTATGATAGCAAGTACAGATGATGCTGCAGTTCTTGTGTTGAAATCTCAGTTAGAATCCCAGTTCAAGCTCAGAGATCTTGGTCCACCTAAGTTTTTTCTTGGCCTGGAGATTGCACGGTCCCATGAAGGTATATCTGTGAGCCAGAGGAAATATTGTTTGGATTTGCTTGCTTCGAGTGGTTTCTCAGGTTGTAAACCTTCGGCCATTCCTATGGAACCAAATCAGAAGCTTTCTAAGGATGAAGGTTTGGTTCTTGATAATCCAAAACAGTATTGTCGATTGGTGGGCAAACTACAATATTTGACTATTACACGTCCAGACATATGTTTTGCTGTATCCAAGTTGGCTCAATACTCTTCAGATCCTCGTGTTCCTCATTTACAAGCTGTTCACAAAGTCCTTCGGTATTTGAAGGGTACCATTGGTCAGGGGTTGTTCTACGCAGCTGATACTAATTTTGCATTGCGAGGCTATTGTGACTCTGATTGGGGTGCTTGTTTGGATACAAGAAGGTCAGTGACCGGATATGCAATGTTTTTGGGAGATTCATTGATCACATGGAAATCTAAGAAACAATCTGTGGTTTCCATGAGCACTACGGAAGCTGAATATAGGGCCATGTCTATGGCTGCCAAGGAGATGGTTTGGCTGTCTCGTCTTCTTGAAGAATTCAGAGTTCCTTTTACTCCTCCAGCTTACCTTTACTGTGACAACACCTCTGCTTTGAACATTGCGAGCAATCCGGTGTTTCACGAGCGGACGAAACACGTTGAATTTGACTGTCACAAAGTGCGTGAATACATAGACTCGGGCTTCCTCAGGACAATGTATGTGAAGAGCGATCAACAGTTAGCTGATGTCTTGACCAAGCCACTTTTCCCTGCTCCTTTTCGAAGTAATATAGGCAAGATGGGTGTTTTGAACATTTTTACACCTTCATCTTGAGGGGGAATATCAGTGAGTACCACCGGTTTACTTGTATAGTATTTAATTCCGGTTTAGATTATTTGGTTTAGTGTTTATTCAGATGTATATATAGACACACTTGTAAATCGTTTTCCCTTTGAG